TTTCAAAACCCAGAGTGCAAGGCTGTCTGGAGTATAATACTGATCTATCAATAATCCAGTTAAGACAGTTTACCTGCTCTGCATGAGAGGGCTCAGTTCACCCATCTTCATTCAAGTTCATGCTCAGGCTGTTTAACTGTGGGCTGCACCACATAGACCAAAGCGTTATAGATTTTTCTTCCCCAAATGTAATACACAAGCCTAAATTGATTGCAGCCAAACATAAATTTAGTCAAATCTTTAATGCACTCCATTAAGCCGTGAATAAGACTTTAAAGAGTTGTGTTAGCTAGAGAGTCTCTGGGACTGGAGTTGAACCAATTTCAGACAGCCAGAATAGAACGTGTTACCTCTGGACATGGTATATTTATTCTAAACAGTGTATCATGGAAAATGAAGAACTTTTTCTTTTTCAAATGTAACAGTGAACAATTACCTGCCATTGTGACATGACAAATTCTGCACAAAGGGACTGGTTGGCTTCCTAGTCCAGACAGGCTAGCCTCTCTCACACTGCCCATGGACATATCCCTCAGCTTCTCCTCGGTTGCACCTGTAAGCCTGGCACTCCATTTTCCTGAAAATTATCTTTGGAAACATAGACAGAAAGGCAGCCATTTTTCTCACCTCCAGTTGAGATGGGGGAAGGATATGCCAACAGCTCTGCCAGGCAGTCAGCACGATTTGTGTGATCCTAGAGAGGTAGGGTCTGGATGAGAAATGTAGAAGACATTTTTTGTACTTTCAGAATAATTTAGGCTTTGAATAATGTGGCAGTCCCTTCTGCAGAAGGTTTTCTATGCAGAGCCTGGTGAAATGCATTCTCTACAGATACATATTCAGAAATCTGATCCAGATTCAGCAATGGTTGTATTGTACTGTTGCAAAGACATGCTATGTGGGTGCCTTCTTGGGTCTGCCTTGGTTTGATATGACTGTGTATGTGACTGGAAAAGGGATAGTTGGGGGACTAGGATGGAGAGGGAACAGAAGTTTGTGGCTTTGTGGAAGGACTAGGAAAGATGGTTTTCTTAAGTGTTATTAAGCATGGCAGCCTCTAACCACACCTGTCTGGTCCCAGTTGAGCTATACTATGCAAGTCAAAGCCGTACTGACTTTTGAAGATTTAGTATGGAATAAAGGAATGAAAATCCATCTCATCAATAGTTTTCATATTGATTCCATATTGCCTTTACATATGAAATTGGGTTGTACATGCATTTTAAGTGGCATTATAAAAATCAATGTCATCTCCTTTTTCTTTGTGAATGTCATTGAAAATTTTAAAATTAAATATATCTTCTATTATTAATTTCAGTGGACAGAGCTGCATTATACATAGGTCACAGTTAATGGTTACTTTCTTGCGTGTGTTTCTTCTTTTTTCCATTTTCATGTGTGTGAGTGCATGTTTGCATGTGTGTGGGCATGTGTGTGTGTGCCTGTTGGTGTGCATGCATGTGGAGGCCTAAGGTTGATGGCAGAAATCATTCTGTATTACTTTTCCACTGTATTGAGGCAGGGTCTCTTAATCAAACACAGAGATCACCAAAATGGTAGTCTGGCTAGCCCAGTTGCTCTGAGAGTCCCTTGTCTCTACCTTTCAAGGCTGGGATTACGGGGAGGCCAACAAACCCACCTGGCATTTATGTGGGCTCTGGTGATCTGAACTTGGATCCTCAAGCTTGGGCAGCTTTAACAACCAAGCCATCTCCCCAGCCCTCTTGCTTGTGTTTCTGTATCAAACTGAAAGGAGAAACTGATAGTATTACATCTTGGGGGAGAAAAAGGCCTGTGGCATGGATTTTGGAGATTGGAAGGTTATTTCTTAAGTGAGGGTAGTAATTGCTTTGATCTCACTGGGTTGTTGCAGGAGAAGTGAGACCCATGTGTGAAATGCCCAGCACAAACACTGGATAGAAAGAAGGAGCTAGTTCCTAACTGCTCATTGCTCTTGGTTATATCTCAAGACCTGCCAGATGTAGACTTGTTCAAATTTAGGACCCTTTCCAATTCAGATCCCTGTGTCTCTCTTCTAAGTCAGTACTGCTACCTATCTATCTGCTTCTGTAGCCAGAAAGCCCAACTTCCTTTTTTTATTCCTTATCATTGAAAAATTCCAGGGCTTTCCCCTGTTTTCTGCTATTTATTCAGACTGGCCCATCTCCCATTTATTATCTCATTTCAATTTCAGAGCAAGGATTTCATTCTGGCTAAGACTACAAAGCAACCTACACATCATGATCTGCCTTAGCCCTTTTCTCCTTCCTATACACTTGGTCTTCCTCCTCCTCCTCCTCGTCCTCCTCTTTCTTCTGCTCACCCTCCTCCTCTTCTTCCTCCTTTTCCTCCTCTTTCTGTTCTTCCTCTTCATCCTTCTTTTTTTCTTTTAAAGCAAAAAATTTGCTTCTTTTGATGGGATGATCAGTCCAGGACTACTGAAGCCAAGCAGGTGCATTCAGGTAACTAATAGAAGTGTTGTGTAAGCAAGAGATCTAGGGAGCAGGCAGGCAACACAAGGCAAAAGGAAAGCAATTTTATAACTCCGTTTCTGCTTCTCCACAAGCCTTTGCCTGCAGGTTTTCAAAGCTCTGCCGTGATCAGTCTGTGAGAAGTACAGGGAACTTCTCATCAGCTTTCTGGATTCTCAAAGAACACCACCACCACCCCCTCCACCCCCCAGCAACATAGCATAAGTCTACATTCAGTTTCCATTCTGAGAACACGTTCTTAGATAAAGACTTGCTCTGTGAAGTTCAGTGTCAGGGAAAAGCCTATAGCTTCCCCATATATGGTTGGCTTCTATCTTCCGCCACAATTAATACTGAACTAGTAACTCAGAGCTTTATGGAGCAGAAAGAAGCAGAAACTGCAGAACTAATTTGCAGCAACAAGGATGTTTGGGAGGAACTGTGCTCAAAACACAGAAAAGAAGTTCCCTGTTTCCTGTGCAGGTATTATTTCTTAAATAAGAAAAATACTGATTTTTGTTGTTATTGCTGTTGTTACTATTCTTATCCAGCAGATGTAACTAGGTGATTTGGAATCTAGTCCTAATTTAAGTTAGTTTTTTTTTTTGTCTTTTCATCAGATCAATATGTTACTTTGCCTATTTCATTCTTAAATTTACTGACTGTTCTCAGGGTAGCAAATTCAAAGGGAAGAAATAAGCAGACTGGTTTGTATTTCAAAGCCTGGGCTGAGGTTTGACAGGAAGAATCCTTGGAAAAGCACAAAGGAGCAGAGTTTCTCAGCCCCTTCTTGCTGATAGATGGAGAAGGGTCTGTTCTTGGGAACATCTGAGTTATATAAGGGTCAGGGGTCCCTCCACCACCAGGAAAGGGATCTCCAGACCAGTGTGTGTATGACTCAAGTTTAGAGAGGGAGAACACATTCCTAAAATGCAAATTTCTTTTTAAAAATATTTATTTTATTTTTAATTATGTGTGACGTGTGTGCATGTATGTATGTGGGTGTGTGCATGTGAATGTAAGTGTAGAGGGAAGTCAAAGGAGGGGGTTAGATCCTCTGGAGCTGGCGCTATCGTTGGTTGTGAGCTGCTTGATGTAGGTGCTGAGAACTGAACTCTGGTCCTCTGGAAGAGCAGTATGTACTTTTAACTGGTGAACCCCATCAAAATCTTGCTTTAAGTTATCTGCTCTCTTCATGGAAACTTCTGTGTTATGTGCCAGGTCTCAGCTTCTTGAGAAAAGAGAGAAAGGGAGACAGAGAAGGAGAGGGAGTGAGAAAGAAGAGACCTAAAGATTCCTCCCCCTTTTTTTCCTTTTATCAGTAAAGTCTCATTACAACTGTGATTTCACAGCTGGGTGTGGTGGCACATACCTTTAATTCCAGCACTTGGGAGGCAGAGTCAGGCAGATCTCTGAGCTCAAGGCCAGCCTGGTCTACATAGCAAGCTACAGGGAGACTCTGTCTCAAAAAAATAAAAAAGAAAAGAAAAAAGACAAAAAGAGAAGGTACAACTGTGATTTCACTTGTTTGTCGGAACTATAGAAACAGCCATGATTATGGAAATCAGAACGGAAGTATGGGCATGTACCAGTGAATCCAGACTGACAACATTCTATCCATGGGTGCATGTGATGTTGAGTGGTACCCCCTCTAGAGCCTGATTATTCCTGGGCGGCCATGCTGCAACTCAACACCACAAAGCAGTGAGCATCTTCCTGGCTTAACTTGCAATGTATTTTAGGTATTTTGGTGTTTGGAGATAATATGCCTTTCTGCCTGAAGGTAGAGGGAACATTGCTTCTAAAAGTACTTGAAAAGAAGCAGACATGCTGATGTGAGAGACCCATTGTGACTAAAGGTGTGTATACCTAGGTGTGCGGACCTCTTCAGACATACATGTACATTAGTATACGTCCACAATACATTCTTTCTCAATGCTTGCCTTGATTTTTGCTTCCCCTGAAATTGAATGGAAAAATCATTGCCATAAAATACTCTTTTGTTCCCAAAGGGAAAGAATTTCTATTTGACTTAGTCATATCACTAGGTCTTCTTGGCTTAGTCATTCTTTACAATACAAATACCGTTTCATCGAATATGGCTATAACATATGAGCCCATCTAGAATCAGAAGGACAAAACCAGATTTATGGCCAACATGAAATATTTTCTGGATACACGCGCAACAATGAAAACATTTTGAAAATTAACCAGCATTCATGGGTATAAATACACTGTCAAAAGCAGTTAACAGTCTTTAACACAGCCAACTCCCCTGAGCTTGAAACAGTGTTAAATTCTCTTTTGCCAGTGGCAAAAAGAAGCTGTCAAGCACAGCACTGAAAAATTGCTACCATGTCCTGGCCAACAAGCAACAGAACTGAGGGGCTAAATATTTTATGGGGTTTTGTTTATTTATTTATTTATTTATATTATCATGCTGATTTTACTCCCTCTCTCTCTCTCTCTCTCTCTCTCTCTCTCTCTCTCTCTTTCTCTCTCTCTCGTTTCCTATTCTTTCCTACTCAGGACTGATTGTGGTAACCTTGGCGGTATGCTGGATGCCAAACCAGATTCGGAGGATCATGGCTGCGGCAAAACCCAAGCATGATTGGACCAAGTCCTACTTCCAGGCCTACATGATCCTCCTCCCTTTCTCGGACACCTTCTTCTACCTCAGCTCGGTGGTCAACCCTCTCCTCTACAACGTGTCCTCGCAACAGTTCCGGAGGGTGTTTGGGCAGGTGCTCCGCTGCCATCTGACGCTGCAGCATGCCAACCAGGAGAAGCGCCTGCGGGCGCACGCCAGCTCCACCACCGACAGTGCCCGCTCCGCCCGCAGCCCGCTCATCTTCTTAGCGTCTTCCCGGCGGAACTCCTCTGCAAGGAGAACTAACAAGGTTTTCTTAAGCACTTTTCAGACGGATGCCAAGCGTGAGGAGTCTCAGCCCCAGGAGTTGAGTCTGCAGTCACCACAGACTGACCCAGAGACCAAACCGGCAGATTCCACCACAGAAAATGGCATTCAGGAGCAGGAAGTGTGAATGTCAAGTTTGGAGGCCTTAAGCAGCAAACCGACCCCTCACCCCCAAAAAGCAACATCATCTTCACGCAGCAGTCCCAAAATAAACTGTGGCCCCATCAGAACAGGATGGAAACTAGAGGCTTTGGAAAGGGCAGGTGCATATTTCAATGGCTTCTAGGAGCTGATTCTTCCAGGCTGACTTTGATGCTAGTTACACAGATTGGGGCTGGATTTCCACTCCATGCTCTTTCTTCAAGTACGCACTGCAAATTCAGACTGAATTGATTCCGAGATTACAAAAGTGTTTGTATGTGATCTTGTATTATTGAAAAGGAACAAAAGGACTCCCTTGTCTACCCAGAATTAAAGGATACCCAGAAGAGACTTGGGGAGGTGGGAGAGTGAGGGGCCGGGTGACAATGCAGGAGGGAGCGGCATGGCCTTTAGCTTCAGCAATGTGACAAGCAAAGGGCTAAGCTGAAAAGCAGGACAGTGGTAGGAAGCCCTGGCCTGATCGCCGAGGCAGAGCTGCCTCTTTTCTTCGGCCTTGGCCCATTGCAAAGAGGGGTGTTGCAGCAGCTGATACACACGGAATTCAGTTTCCCTGGGGAGCAGAAGGACTGGTACCCAGCTGAGGCGATGAGACAGGCTGCTGATGACGCACATGACTTCCGGTACATGATCCCTGCAACACAGACCCAGAGGAGCCGGGTTAATGTGTGCAGTCCTAGGTTCAGCCATCCCTTTGAGCCCAAAACCTTAACTCCTCCCACAGTGAGAGAGACTTTCTGGGGCCAGGGAGCCGCTTTGAGTGGTGGCATTCAGGTCCCTAAATACATAAGACCTGTGGTGAAAGTGACAGTCATCTTTTCACTTTTGACAAAACTGTTCCAATAGCTATTTTACTTATATCCTTGAATAAAGAACTTTTAAAATCAGCCTCTCTCTCTCTCTCTCTCTCTCTCTCTCTCTTGGTGTGTGTGTGTGCATGCGTGTGTGTGTGTGCATGCACACGCATGTGCACACAGGTACTTATAGAGGTCAGATCTCAACCTTGGGTGTCATTTCTCAGGCACTGCCCACCTTACTTTTGAGACAGGATCTCCAACTGGCCTGGATCTCACCAAGTCAACTAGATTGGCTGCAAGCAAGCACCAAGGACCCACCAAGCTCAGCCTCCTCAGCACTGGGATTGTAGATGTGTGTCAGCTTTTTTAAAAAAAGATTTATTTTTATTTATGTGTATGTATGGTTATATGCACATGTTTATACCCTCAGAGGCCAGAAGAGGGCATTGGAACTCCTGGAGCTGTAGTTACAGGTGGCTGTGAGCAAAATGACATGGGTGCTGGGAACCAAACTCAGGTCCTCTACAAGAGCAGTATAATCTCTTAACTACTGAGTCATGTCCCCAGGCCCTATTCCCAGCTTTTTGCATGGATTCTGGGGATAGCAATCAGGTCCTCATGCTTGAATGACAAGTGGTTTACCGACTGGGCCATCTCCCCAGCCCCATTGTCTGTTTTTTAATCAGTTCATATTTTGTACTAGACACAGATTTTTATTTTGTTTGTTACCATTGTTCAAACTGTCTCATGCCAGGAGGACCACACATCTAGGTCTGATCTGTTATTACTTTACAAGTGGCCATAGAGAGATGTCTCCCAACCAAGAGTTTATTAAATCCCAGAATTCTCTGAATAAAGACCAAATTTCCAAGGGAAGGATTTTGTAATTCCAATTTCTACTGTAGGGACTCCAATTTTTTCCAGGTTTGAGGGGTCCACTGAGGTTAAAGAGCAGGTGGCAGGGCTGACAGTATACTCAGGACAGCTTCATTCTCAGGGAAGTAGCTTTGCCCTTAAGACAACGGCATCAAAGAGCAGACACTGTGGACATAACAAGCTTCTTAAGGGGCTGGGAAATGGTTCAGTGGGTAAAGTGTTTGCTGTGCATGTGTTGAGGACCTGGGTTTAGATCCCCGGAACCAATGTAAAAAGCCAGGTGTGATGGAACACACCTGTAATCTCAATCTGGAGTGGTGGAGACAGGTGGATCCCCAGGGCTTACTAGCCAGTCAGTCCAGCCTAATTGGCCAGTTCCAGAAGAGTGAGAGACCCTGTCTCAAGAAACAGAGTGGATGGCACCTGAGGAACAATACCTATGGATGTCCTCTGGCCTATGTGTGTATGTGCACGCACGCTTGCGAGCCCCCTCCCCCCACACGCGCGCGCACACACACACACACACACACGTGCACACACACACACAAGGTTTGGCAGTTGAATGGTCAGGAACCTGTAGCGCGCGCACACACACACACACACACACACACACACACACACACACAAGGTTTGGCGGTTGAATGGTCAGGAACCTGTGGTGATGCAGCATGTCATAGTAGGAGCATGTGAAGTACTCACCTTCACCCTGTGGTCAGGAGCAAAAAGAAAAAGGGGCAAGTCCCACTGTCCTCCTCAATAGTATGTACTCCAGGACCCAAGACCTCCTACTGCATCCACCATACAGTAGTGCATGCTAAGAACCAAGACTGCTCCACATGGGCTACTGGAGGGCATGATAAATCCAGACCTTTAGTGTGGTGCTAAATAAGCTTATACACTATCTCTGTAGTGCCTGGCATCCTGAAAAACTCTTACATACTGTGATTATCATTTGAGACAGGGTCTCTTGTAGCTCAGGCTGGCCTGGAACTCACTGTGTCACTGAGAATAACCTTGAATTTCCAATTCCCCTGCCTCTACCTCCAGAAGTGTGTACCACTATACCTAGTTTATGTGGTGCTGGGGTGGAGACCAGGGCTTTGTGTATGCTAGGCAAGCACCCCACCAACTATATCCTGGTTTGCCTTCTGCTGACCAAAACCACCCTGAGGAAGAAAGGGTTTTTTTGGCCTACAGATTACAATCATGTGTGAATATACTTGGCCTTTTTAATGTGTGATCTAAATATCAAAGTCAGGACCTCAGGCTTGCACAGCAAGCAGTTTACTGACTTCAGCCATCTTCCCAACCCCCTTTAAAACTGACAACCCAAACAAACCTTCCTTTTTCCTAGGTTGACAGTCTATGGCATTTTTGTTACAGTGATGGAAAACTGACTAATACAGATTTAAAGCACTATGAGGAAGGTCCTCAAGACCATTCTCATTGTACAGATCCAGAGCCTGAGGGCTGGTCACTAAGGTTTAGTAACTTTCTTAGGTCTAATCAGTAGAAAGTGGGGTAGCTGTGAGCCTCATATGGAATGTCACCCACAGGCTCATGTATTTGAACACCTGATTCCCTAGATGGTGGTGCTGTTTTGGAAGGTTCTAGAACCCTTAGGAAGTGGAGCCTTGCTGGAGGTAGAGGGCCACTGGGAGTGGGCCTTGAGGTTTGATAGCCCAGCCCCACTTCCTATTTACTCTGTTTTCTGAGTAAAGATGCGATATAGCTAGCTGCGAATGCTCTTGCTGCCATCCACTATGATGGCTCAGGATAGTATGAAAGCAGCCCAACCCATTTGTAGATGACAGCATCATATCATGGTGTCAAAAGACTGGACGTCCTGTGTGTGGGCAAGTCATTTGCCTTCTGCCCTTCAATAGCTTCTTATCAGGTATTTGGCCACAGCAATGAGAAGAGTAATTAACACAATAGCCAGCTATTGAAGGAAGGTGTTTACTTTCATGATAACTATTGGTGTGTGAGGTTATCTTTATAGATTTTCAGACAGATAATATTGAATAATGACGACACTTGGCTCAGAACTGTGTGGTCTTGGCCTGCTTGCTGCTCTTTGCAGCTGAGAGATATAACACATCCCACCAGTGGCCAGGGAGCTTTACCCCCTAATTGCCTGCAGGTGTCTGGGCAGGTGTGGTTTTAGCGTTGCGCCCACTCCAAGAGAACTGCCAGTTTGGGCAGGTGTAAATAGTAAAAAAGAATCAAACTGCCAAAAACTCACAAGCAAGAGGTAAGTACTTTCAGTTTGTTTTAAAACATGCAATTGTTTTTTAATTTTTTTTCTACAACTGCATGCTTGTAAGGATTGATTTTCTAGAACTGGTGGACAATCCTGGGACGTAGCTGCTCTGGTAGCTGCTCTGGAGAGGAGAGGAGAGGAGAGGAGAGGAGAGGAGAGGAGAGAGATAGAGATAGAGAGAGAGAGAGAGAGAGAGAGAGAGAGAGAGAGAGAGAGAGAGAGAGAGGGGG